ATTGGCTAATTCCGGAATTCTACTGTAAGCCAATCAGGTTGTGGATTCACTTCTATCTGGAGCATGATTGGGTGGTTCCTGCCAACCAATCATACTGCTGCATTGTTCTAGGACCAATCAGACTGCTGCCCTTTGGATCCTATTGTTCTAGGACCCATCAGACTGCTGCAGTTTGGATCCTATTCAACTCAGTACATAACACAGGCCTTTGGTAGTTACGTTAGTCTATAGTGTGTTTCTCATCTTTTAGTGGGGTGTGCTTCTTATTGTGTTGTTCTATGAGCGTTGTAGGAATTTTGTATTGTACATTCTTTTAAAGATTCTAGTTTTGAATTCATTTTACCTGTTCATATTTTATCTTATGTCACTTTGAGACCTTTTTTGTATAAAATAACAACAACTAATAATAATAAACTTCATTAAAAAAATCAAAGCAGCAACATACCTTAAGTTTTCTTAACTTCAAATGAAGATGCCCATATGTTTGAGGAGTAGAGGTGTCCACCACAGGTTTGCTAATCTGAATCTGCAGTGGAAAACAAAACACTCCTGGTTTTTAGTCTTTAAATGTGCCTACAGAATAGAAGGGAATTTCTTTCGTGATTTAGGCGGCAAAGCCATTTTACACTATGCCCTCTCTGTAATCTTTGCTGATTGATTCTATTATGACAATGACCCCATAAGTACAAATATCAGACATGAAGACGGATCCACATAAGAACAGCTTGCTGAATCAGGCCAATGATCCATGTCTAGCATCCTGTTTTTAGAGTGGCCAACCAGATGTCTGTAGAAAAACCCAGAAGCAGAACATGAGCACAAGAGCACTACTGCCTCCAACTGTGGAGGTAGAGCATAGCAGACATGGCCATCGATAGTCCTCTTTCAAAGCCATCCAATTGGTGGCCATCACTGTCTCCTGTGGAAGCAACTTCCACCATTTAACTATATGCTCTGTGAATTAGCTCTTTCTTTTACCTGTCTCAAATCTTACAACATTCATCTTCCTTGGCTGTCCTTGAGTTGCTAGTGTTATGAGAGGGGTAGAAAAACGCAACGTCCTACTTAACCATCTAGTCAGCGGGGGGGGGGGGGGGACTGTGTAAAAATTATAAACGATGATGCAATGCCAAAAACAAACAAACAGAAAGATTAGCACAAATAAACGATAGCGCCAGAGCAACCTACTTATTTGACTACCCAGGAACCAGCATCCACCTCTGAACTTTGAAAAAAAGAGGGAGATGTTATAATCTAAATGCAAAAGCCATCCATATTGAGCAAAGGAAAAGCCCTAAATCAAAAAGGTTAATTTTCACCTTGAGTGCCAAACTCAGTGACATATTTCCTTCTGTTTATATCAGTTTACAACAAAAAAATATATTACAAAGGGTGATATCCAAGGAGTTCATTGATTTCAGTGGGTCTGCTCTGAGTATGACAAATGTTGGCTATCACCCAAAAACTATAAACTCTAGAAAGCTAACATTTCTCCAATGGTTAGTTCTCATGTTGGTTTTCTGACACTAATTAACCTTTGTGCGTGTGTGGCTGTATAATTTGTAACAGAAGAATAGTGGTATGAGTTTTACTTTCCCCTGAGGACTCATAGCTTGGGGGAGCCCCCAGATGTATATTTGTGCAACAAAAGAATACCCATTGATAAAAACCATTGATAAATGCAATCCCTTTTCATCACGGAAATTAAAGGAATGTAGGAAGTGGCCTACAGCGTTCGCGTGAAATGCTTATTAACTTTTCTTGGAATGATTTTGAGATTGGACCGTTTCTTTGTAAATAAATTCTTGGCATGGTAGCAATTATTTGGTTTAAAGCGTGGAGGGGAGTCAAGAGGGAGCAATGTACGGTGCATACTAAAACAGCAAACTGAGCGGTGGCTAATTGTTATGTCCTTGGCAGAAATGCAAAGGCATTTCCTCTCAACAAGTTTGGCTTTGTGCACGAAGCAGCTTGCGATGTTATAAGAGCGCCGCCACACTTACCTTTCTCTTGTGTTCTTCGTACGTTGCTTTGTCCCACTTTTGCTGAAGGTATTTATTGCCACATGGCAAAATTGGCTGGTAGGATCTGTGCATCTTAAAACAACATGAATTATCTCTAAAGAGATAATCTCAAAGAGAGTGCATCATTGGCCAGAAGCTTCTTGAGCGAAGCTCTAACAACTGTGGTGTGTTTGCAGCAGGTCATGTGGTGGTTGCTATGGTATCGCTGAGGCAAAAAGTGAATAGCTGGTGATAGCATTTTCAACAATATGTTTGGGAAGTAGCAAGCAAGAACCAAGAATCTAAGACTGCAATCCTGTACACACTTTTAAGGAAGTAAGCCCCACTGAAAACAATGTGACTTGCTTACTGAGAGTGTAGATATGTATAGGACTGAACTGTAAAACTAAGATTCCAAAGGATATCCTTTTCAACACATTAATTTCTGGAACAATTACACTTCTAAGTTTTTTTTTTTATAGCATTGCAAGCAAGTATAGATTTGCACAAAAGTAGGATGTGGGTGGCGCTGTGGGTTAAACCACTGAGCCTAGGACTTGCCGATCAGAAGGTCAGCGGTTCGAATCCCTGCGATAGGGTGAGCTCCCATTGGTCAGTCCCTGCTCCTGCCAACCTAGCAGTTCGAAAGCACGTCAAAGTGCAAGTAGATAAATAGGAACTGCTCTGGCGGGAAGGTAAACGGCGTTTCCGTGCGCTGCTCTGGTTCGCCAGAAGCGGCTTAGTCACGCTGGCCACATGACCCGGAAGCTGTACGCCGGCTCCCTCGGCCAGTAAAGCGAGATGAGCACCGCAACCCCAGAGTTGGGCACAACTGGACCTAATGGTCAGGGGTCCCTTTACCTTTACCTAGGATATCAAAATCCAAGACACATAATGAAATGTGCCCTCTGTCATTTGTTAAAAATGGTTCTCTGCTAAAGACTATATTACACATTATTGTGTGGAAAAAAATCCTAGGTAGGAAATAATGAGAAGCAGCCTGTAGGATCATTGTGTGTGACAATTCCACATATATGGGGTCTTTGTTCCCACCGCCGACAAGCACATGCACATACAGTGAGAAACCCACATAATTGTCACACACATCTGCATTGCATATAGAAAGCTTGCAATGTGTGCATGCACTTCCTACGACATTTAATTATATATTAGAAACCTTTATATCCTATTTAAGGATGACATCAGAAAAGTCCAGCATCCTGCTCTCACATTGGCCAACCAGATGCCAATGAAAAGTCCACAAGCAGGAGCTGAATGCAAAGGAACTCTTCCCCAGTTCTGATTCCCAGCAGGTGATATACAGGGACATGCTGTCTCCAATGGTAGAGCATATTTATCATGGTTGGTAAGCCACTGGTAGCCTTAACTTCCATGAACTGTGATTACTTTTAATGGTCCCAGAGTATCAGAAGCTACCAGGGCTAAGACCAGTCAGGAACCCTTGTGTTTTGGTACAGCTGCCTCACGTATTTCAGTTTGCTACCAGAGTTGCAGTTTAGGATGTCCCTAGGTAGCTAGGGATGAACGGCCTTTTATAGAAGTTAAGCGTTTTGCAGAAAACCAGTAAAAGGAGAGGGAGTATTTCCTTATTACATGTTTTATCCCTTCCTTAGAACGAGGTGCTGTGAGTGAGCACATACTCTAAAAGTTTAAAGTAATTTGGAAACCATACTTCAAAGCGCTGCAAATTATCCCCTTCTCAGATTCATGCTGGGACTGCCCAGACAACTAGAAAGGAGGAGAGACAATTGGTAGCAGCAGCAGTGGGCAGGCAGGAGGCAGTAGCAATAGTGTAAGATGTCACCCATGAATTATAGGAGGATGGCCCTGCAGGCAGTAGAGGGAGAACACACCATCTGCTAGCAGTACTGCACTGCTCAGTATGACTCATGATAGGACTCACCTTGCTTCATTCTGCCAGATTCTGCCAAAAATTTGTTAGATAGTGCAAGGTTTCACTTTGGAGCTGATGTTGATTTATCGAATTCCAGCCTTGACTCCGCCTTAAATCCACCCAATTCTTCCAGGCTCCATCCCCGATCTCCCAGATTCTTTTCTGCGCTAGCTTTCACCCCACACCGCGGGACTGTATTTCTACCCTGCCTTAGTTCTGGCCCCACACAGAGGTATCTGCAGCCATGTGTCTTTTGTTCATTTATTGACTCTCCCTGCTGGAATGGGAATACTTTGTACAAAGGGGAAAGAGATTAAGTGCCTGTCAGGAACACTAAGCTAGGTGCTTTCTCTCTCTTGCTCTTTCCGTTTCTTTAAATCCTCAGAATGTTGCTGTGTGGTTTGATGTGGGGAACTGCTGAACATCAGGCAATGCAGTGCATTTATAGTAAAACTTTACACCAGAGCTTTCCCATTGCATTTAATGGCATTCCACAGCTGAAAGGCTGAATTCCCAATTCATGCGCTCATAATCGTGTTTAAATGCGTCTTCCCACCCTCCTCAGGACTGGAATCTAACACATTGTATTTTGCAGGATTAGAGGCACTGAAAGAGTATGGAAAACAGCTCCTGCCCCACGCATCAAAAAAGAAATGTTGTGCAGACACACACAACATTTGTGGGTGATATTCCTAGTCTAACTGATGTTAGAGAAGGAAAGGCATTATTCACAAGCCATCTTTATGCCAACTTTACCTCAGAGCCATTGTATTAAATGACATAATTTAAAGAGCAGGCAGCTTACAATTTTATGGGTTAGCTCTGGCTTCTGATTGAGGCTATTGGTGCCACCAAATTCTAAATAAGACGTGATGAAAGGTTTAATCCGAGGTTTTATTTATAAAGAAAACAAACTTGTTTTCAAGTTTGAGGTGTAAAATATATATTATACCGTATTTCTTGCATGTCTATCTGCTCTCCCACCTGGTGCTGTTTTTAGTAGACGTCACTGACACCCGAGTGGATCTGATTTGATTCAACTTTGCCTGCTTGGGTTCTTGGGGAAGCACATAGGTTGGAAGGGTGTGTGTGCAGTTTGTAGTCATCCATAGAAATTCCACATTCCTCACTAGGAAACCAACCTGTCTGGGAACAAGATGTGAATCTCCACTTGCTGTTGTGCCGGAAGGACATTTTATTGGTGTACTGTCAATCCTGTGGTTTTGGAGAACCCTTGAACAATAATCCCGGGAGTCTTAAATGTAGAAGCGGAGTCCACCTTATCTGGTCTGGCTCTGGACTTCATGGTCATCAAGACAACTGTGGATCTGCCTCAATGCATCACGGGTCAAGCACATGTTGCAGGTCATACTCTCAATTGGTCTTCAGTACAGAGCAGACTGGGAGTGATCCAGTGCTGAGAAGGTGAGTGTCACCCCCTGTCATAGACAGATCACTCCCAGGTGAGATTAGGGTTGGCTGTGACTGAGTCTACAGGAGTAAGGGGACGGTTTTTGTTATGTAAGGGAGGGCCTTCCTGGTGGTGGTGCCCCAGTTCCTCCTGGGGAAATGTGCTTTCCTCCATGTTAAAAACTTTTTGGTGTCAACTGAAGATCCATGTGTTGTATGAACTATTGGGACATAAAAGGAATTAACAATTTTAGCATCACTGTCTGCTGAACTATATTCTTCATTTTCTAAATATGTATTTTAGAAGTTTTAATAGTTTTGTGATGGTTGTATTTTGGAGTGTTGTGACTTCTGTGGGAGTACATAAATGCAATTGATGGTGACAATTGATGTTACACCTGTTTTTTATTTTACATGTAATATGTACATGTAGACATTTGTATGTCATCCTATACCTGAGTGCAAGTGTCCCACAGTTAGAAACCCATTCCTGCTAGAGGGTGGCATCTTCATTGTGCAATGTGACTATTCACAAGTGGTTCAGCTTGTGCAGCAAAATATGCTTTTGTTCCACAAAACATTGTTTGTAGAACAGAGTAGCCCAAGGCAATACAGAAATTGGCTATTTCTGATTTGACTTCTGATGATAAACAGGAGAATATTAGAAGTGATTATCTCTTAACTGGTTTAAGCTTCAGCAGAAGCTGCAGCAAATACAGACACAGAATTAATCCAAAGCAGACCTCCTTATCCAAGCAGTATGTTGACAGACTTCATCTGCAAGATTCTGGTAAGCTCCCAGAATAGTTCACAGCATTCCAAATGAGACCATGCCAGTCCCAAGGTACTACTATTGCTTACTGAGTCACAGGAACAATGTTCCTGCCTATACAACCTAAAAATACCATTAGCTATCTGTGCCGTAACAGCACATTGTTGTTGCATACCCATCTTCTGCCCATTCTGCTAAAAGAAATACAGATATAATGTACAGCAGAGTTGGAAATGCCATGGGTTTCATTCTGCCTCATCGTGTGAATGAATAGACTGTGTTAAATCATTAAAATATTAGGTGATGAAGATGTATTAGGTGACATGATAGCTTTGTCAGGGATGTGATTGGTTGGCTTTGGTGATGGGTCTTTGACAGAAGCAAGGCATCACTTCATATTACATTTATTCAAGTGGTGAACGTGCACCTACAAACTCAGCCCAAATCTTCAGTGTGCTGGCTTTTCAGTGCTGGATGTGGAAGTACGGTCAGTGCTGTGATACTCCCTGCATATAATAATACAGCCCATGTTTATACCACTTATCCTTGTTTTTTTATAATGAGAAATCTATTCCTGCATCGGCAGATGAGTATTACTTTGTTTGCGCTGCGTGCAAAATGATACAGTTGTGCTTATTTGTGTGTTTGCTCTTATGTTTGTGTTTCATTCATAGGAGACTAACCGCTATCTTTTGGGCTGAAACTTATTTGAGGTTTCACCATTTCCAGCAGGTGGTAGAAATCTAGGTAGAAATGGCTTGCTTATCTATTTATATAGCAATATTGTGCACTGTGACTTGTTTTATCCACAGCGATTAGACTGCATAATTGACACAGATTGGCAACAGCTGTAATTTATCTGTGTAACATGCAATTATCGTCCTAGGAATCAGAGAAAGCATGGAATTAAAGAACCACCCTAAAGAAAACAAACGTATTATATTAGGGACTGTGCCCCTGCTCACTTTGCTTGCCAATTCCACCTACCCCTGCCAAACCCCCTCTCAAAACCACCCACCCCTCCCTTTGTCCCTAGCCAAAGTCACTCCCCTCCTCCCTTCATTCCACACTGAAGCTAGTGCTTTTTCCAGTCACTGTTCCTACAAAGCATATATACTGCCTCATAGAAAGGGACAGGGAGAAAAATGGCTTAGTTTGCATACCTCCCTAACTCACACTCCTTGAAATGATGTGCAAACTGAAACACAACATATCCTTAGTAATCCAAACTTCTCTGAATTTTGCAGTGCACTTCTCCACCCAATTAATGTGTACAAAAATGTATGCACAGGGGTAAAGCCAACTGGAAGCTGCAAAATCCCCATTGGACGTTCAGCTTCCAAAAATAGTTTGCAAACCAAAACAGTCACTTCCAGGTTTGCGGAGTTCGGGAGCCAAAATGTTTGACAACTAAGCTGTTTGTAAACCAAGGTATGACTGTAATAATAATAATAATAATAATAATAATAATAATGTATTACTGAAAACAACAAACAGAAAGGCATTGTTTTTGTTGCAAAAACATGTATATGAGGCAAAATTGCATTTAACAATATACAGTGGTATCTTGGGTTAAAAACGTAATTTGTTCCGGAGGTCCGTTCTTAACCTGAAACTGTTCTTAACCTGAGGTACCACTTTAGCTAATGGGGCCTCCTGCTGCGCCACTGCCGCGCAATTTCTGTTCTCATCCTGAAGCAAAGTTCTTAACCTGAAGCACTATTTCTGGGTTAGTGGAGTCTGTAACCTGAAGCGTATGTAACCTGAAGCATCTGTAACCCGAGGTACCACTGTATACCTTGACTTGCCAGCTAAACCAGGTGAGGGTAGCCTATGGATCTCAAACCCTCAGTGAGTTAGGGACTTCCTCTGCATTCAAAGACTGCCTCCGGCAGATTGAGCGGATGAAACCAACAGTGGATCAAACGGTCAAGAAGCGGTTTCTGCACGGGCTGTAGAGGGAAGTGAGGGGCAGATGGGGCTTGTCAACCTGGGAAGGTAGCCCATCTAGGAGAAGGAAAACTCTGATCCTAAACCTCCACTACCTTGCAGTATATCTTCAGGAGAAGAAAAGGCTAAGGAGTAAACCCTACACAAATCCAGAGTGGAGTCCCTAAGACAGTTGGATGGTGCCTTGTACGCCAAGCAACTGCAGCCAAGCTGTTGCCAAATGTATTGCTTTGGACCACATCAGAGGGGGTTCTTGTCGACTGGGCAGCCCTGGACCTCCATATTGGGGAAGTCACTTGGGTGCTACTAACACAGCCGTTTGACTTCACCCCTGGAGGCGTCCTCCATTTTCTCTCAAGACAGATGGATGCTAACAACAGCAGCAATATATATGGAGAAAACTACACTAAAATACTGACAAATTTTAATGGGGACCTTATTTTTTAAAAAATGCAAACTCATGTGGAAACGCAGAAAAAAGATTGGAGAAACCAGAAACTCTACTTCTGCTATACTTCCAGATATGACATTCAAGACAGATTTACATCTAACCAGAAGAGGGCGTAGAAACACTGCCTCCCGGATAGACGTATGAATCCTTTCTGAGGCAGGAAACAGTATCCGTGTTTCCTTTCAGCATAGGAATACTGAAAAAATAAATTAATTATACTGTTGCTCCATGTTCTTGAAGAATATGTTTGGAGAATCTCTTTCTGGCAACTACATTTAAAATGTTATATCTAAGAAATGTTGATATGTTCAGTTATGTACAGAGTGTTATGTGCTGTGTTCTCGTTAGCTGTTTCCATTATGTTAAAGTTAGGTAATTAGAAAATCTCCTAACTCTACTTCCTCTCAAGGGAAACCTCTCATCTAGATCACTGAAAGGAAGTGATTTCCTTGCCTGGCAGGAATGAGTCACAGAAAACGACCTTCTGTGTAAGTCTAATTGTGGCTTAATTTAGATTTCAGAACCCTCTGCAGTGTTATAATATGGACACATGTAGTTCTGAATACAGAGCCGCCGTGAAAGTTGGCCTCGATCCTGAAACTGTATAAATTCAGCAGAATTAAGTACAGAATAGTTTATAGGATACTGAAGTCAGGAAAGGAGGTACAGTAGTACCTCAGGCTAACTACTTAAATCGTTCTGGAGGTCCGTTCTTAACCTGAAACTGTTCTTAACCTGAAGCACCACTTTAGCTAATGGGGACTCCTGCTGCTGCCGCACCGCCGGAGCATGATTTCTGTTCTCATCCTGAAGCAAAGTTCTTAACCCAAGGTACTATTTCTGGGTTAGCGGAGTCTGTAACCTGAAGCGTATGTAACCCGAGGTACCACTGTATTCTTTTTAGGTTCTTGTTTGAGAGAGCTACACAGCAAAATTATATGGAGAGGTAGGGTGCCCTTAATTAAGTCCCACCACTGATTATACATGTATATTACTGCTTCAAAACTAGGAACCATTTTTAATACAAATCTTTGGAACTGCACTGGAATTCAGTGGACAGCAGTATTTGCTGTCAAACAGAACTGCACTATGCACAGCACAGACTCTTGAAAGCACTGGGTCTTTCTGCCATATTAATTTATGATATTTATATCCCACTCTCCAGATAGAGGTCTCCCAGAGCAACTAAAAAGCAGCAGGAGGTCAAAATGGAACAAGATAGACTAAAAATCAAATAAAAGCTTAGTGAAATAAAAGGTGAATTAAAAAGGTAATTAAAACAACCACAACACCCAAATAGGCTCAGCGCTAGGGGAGCCTCCTTGGAGGAACCATTCTATAGTCAGGATACCACAACTGTGAAGGCCCTATCTTTAGTCACCAGCATCTTGCCTCTGAAAGTAAGTGGGGGGTTGAAGAAGGAAGATCTTAGTAACTGGGCAGGGAAAAGTAGCCAGCCCCTCAGACACTATAAATCTTAAGAGCTTTAAAAGGTAAGATCTGGAGACTTGTGTTTGTTTCAGAAATGGACAGGAATCAGTACAGTTGTACTAAGGTTGATGGGGAGCCAGTGTGGTTCGTGTCTTCGCTCCTCCACATGCAGCTGCTGGGTGACCTTGGGCTAGTCACACTTCTTTGAAGTCTCTCAGCCCCACTCACCTTGTTGTGGGGGAGGAAGGGAAAGGAGAATGTTAGCCGCTTTGAGACTCCTTAAAGGGAGTGAAAGGCGGGATATCAGAAAAAAAGAAAACCCTGAGTATTACCAGCACGTGAATAATGGTGTTCAAGCGATCTCTGTCCTAAAGAGGCCACAGTTTTCATGCCAGCCTCTGCTGGTGAAAGGTGTGCCAGAGAGGATACCTGGGCATCTAAAGATATGATTGGACAAAGGGCCTCTGCCCCTGCTCACTCCATTTGCGAACCCCTCAGCCATTCCCCCCCCGTTAACTCCCTAGAGCTTGCCTTCCCATCCCAGGCAACTACTACACCCCCTTTTCACCTTGCAAACCCTATTTCTGAAGCCACTTCTCTCATCTGTGCTGCAGCCCTGCTTTGAACCTGTTTCCATCTTCACCCCCATGTCCTTGCCTCCCTTCCTTTTGTGCAACCCCCTTACACTCAGACCACCCCATTAGTCCTGTATCTTCCTCCTCCCACACGTTGGAACTACTACGCACCTTTTCACCATCTGTCCAGTTGCAAAGTCACCATCTCCTCCTGTTATTCTGCCCCTTTTGTACTCCATCTTTCTTCATCCCCAACAGACGTTGGTGGGGTTACCCATCTGCCACTTCACTTTTAGCTGCGGATTTTATGTTTGGATGTGCACAGGAATTCTGAGGACAACCCTACCCGTCTCTGCACTACCTTTTCTCTCTCTTTTTCTATTGCTTTTCTCTGCCACCTCACTCTCTCCCCCCACCTTCTTCAGTAAACTTATAATAGTCAGATAACCTGAACTTTTCAATTAATAAAACCATTCACAAAACCTGTAAACTCCAACAGTGGCCTATTTACCAATACTGCATATGCAAAAATGTTTTTGAACTCCATCCCAGTTGTTACAGTATATATAACAAATTCTCATGCACCCCCTAGAGTGCCCCCCCTCTGCCCCCTTAACAAAACACTGGCTTAGGAATTTGCGTTCTCTTAAGTGTACTTAAGGAATCCAGTCCTTGAATCTAATTTCTTGGCGCTACTCTGAGAATCAAAAAGCTACAGCAAACACAGTCTAAGGGATGCAAACATTCCACAGCAACCAAATCACCTCGACTGACATAGAGAAAAAGAATATGAATGATCAGAATGTCACAGAATCCTAGGAGGAATCTCAGCTAGATCATACATGGCAGTTGGCTATCCAACCTCTGTTTAAAAAAGGATAATACACATTCTCTTAGGGTAACAACTTGTGCAATGTATGTCCCTCTCACCTCTTGTGTTGTTCTTGACCTTTTATGAGTGACTAGAGACGCGGGTGGCGCTGTGAGTTAAACCACAGAGCCTAGGACTTGCCGATCAGAAGGTTGGCGGTTTGAATCCCCGTGACGGGGTGAGCTCCCGTTGCTCGGTCCCTGCTCCTGCCAACCTAGCAGTTCGAAACCACGTCAAAGTGCAAGTAGATAAATAGGTACTGCACCGGTGGGAAGGTAAATGGCATTTCCATGCATTGCTCTGGTTCGCCAGAAGCGGCTTAGTCATGCTGGCCACATGACCTGGAAGCTGTACGCCGGCTCCCTCGGCCAATAAAGAGAGATGAACGCCACATCCCCAGAGTCGGTCACGACTGGACCTAATGGTCAGGGGTCCCTTTACCTTTACCTTAGGATGAGGATATTGGGTGCTTCACAGCCAACATCACAGGTCCCTTGTGATGCAAGCACCACATACTACCTTGGACCTGGTTTTTAAATGAACATTTTGATAAGGCACTGATGTGCTCAGCTGATTGGGACTGTGTGTTCCAAGCACTAAGGGGCACAAGGGAGAATTGGGGTGTTCCTTCAATGCCGGATGAACAACTCCAGCACATTTTCAGATATAATCTCTCAGCCTGTACCTCCCTCAACTGATAAATCTTGAATCTTGCACCATGGCATATAATTCATTCTCACTATGCTCCGTGGCTGAATTTCTTGTTGCTAGTTAAAAATAAATAAATTAAGGGTATGCTTGCATTAGTGTTCCTTGTTGTAGTACCTAAGAGGTTGCTTCTTATAGTTCCAGTACACTTTGTTCCATGGCACTTCCTGCTTTCTTTAATACTAGGCTCCTTTTGGGGCAAGCAAAGGATACGGTTTTTATTTCTAAATGTTGACGTCCTTCTGCAAATCTTAACAACACACTTTTTTTCTGAATAATTATAACCCCCTAGTTCCTCTGTGAATTTTTCACAGCTAACTTTCCCATGATTTTTTTTATCTTTCCCTGGGTAGTTTGGATTGTTCGGTACTTTGGTTGGAAAGGGAAACTTGCATATTACACAGCCACACAAGCCTGTGTTTACCACTGGGTGCACACTCAACAGAGAGCCACAGCTAATCCTAGCTGAACATACCAATACGAATTTTGTTTTCTCGTGCACTTGGCACTGACAAAGCATCAACAGCATGCTGCTTTTCACTATCAGTACCATCATTACAGTACTGTTATTCGGGTGACCAAATAGAGCCAGTGTGGTGCAGTGGTTAAGAGCGGTAGACTCGTAATCTGGTGAACCGGGTTCAGTTCCCCGCTCCTCCACATGCAGCTGCTGGGTGACCTTGGACTTCTCTGGAGTCTCTCAGCCCCACTCACCTCACAGAGTGTTTGTTGTGAGGGAGGAAGGGAAAGGAGAATGTTAGCTGCTTTGAGACTCCTTGGGGTAGTGATAAAGCGGGATATCAAATCCAAACTCCTCTTCTTCTTCTTCTTTGCTGGGATCAATATCCATAAACTTACACCAATCCTCTGTCAGGAACAAGTCAGTAGTAAATCACACTGTGCAAGTTGGAGTGAACTGTTAGTAAGAACCCGATCTGCACAGACTTGGCAGAGTGTCAGCCCAAATGAATACAGCAGCTCATCCCCAGTAGGTCTTGCCCATGGATCAGTTGCAGTGGCTGAAAGTCCCTGTCTCCCCGCAGCTCTCAAAGTACCCTCCTCTCCAGGGTTTTCCCCCTCAAGCAATCAGAGACTGCACCTGTGGGAAACTATCAGTAACTTCTCCTCTGCCTTTTTTGTGCCTCTTCTGGAGATCTTCTAGATGCAGAATTTGCCAGTGGCAAAGTAAGGAACTCCAACCAGCCCACGGTGGTAGCAGGGAGGCTGCAGCAGCAAATGGGGTGCCTTAAAAGAGGGAACCCCAACAGGCGGCAGCAGAGAATGGTTTCTGTGGCTCTGCACCTACAAGCCAATAGGAATTGCCAAGCCAGGTTTAAGAAAGTTCTAAGTTTTTCCTCCTAGGTGCATTTCCACAATAGTAATTTTAGCCAGTACTGTACTGGTTCAGCCTGTGAAGCTTAAGCAATCCCTTGAGTGAAGCCTTTCTACAGACCAGTTCAGCCCTTCAATCTTTCATTCACAAGCAGAAAACGCCCTGCTCTCCTTGAGCAGATATGCGAAGCCTGCTTTGTGGAGGCAGCTTGAGCCAGCCTCAGCACTCATACTGACTGACAAGGGGAATACAAGTGTCACCCTTCTGTTTGTTAAACTTATTCCAACCGTTTACATTAAAGCACAGGGTGCGACTCTACCCGACATGCTCAGTCAGCAAAGCATAACACTCTCAATCTCAGGGTCGAGGGTTCGAGCCCCACGTCGGGAGAAAGATTCCTGCATTGCAGGGGGTTACATTAGATGACCCTCCACAATTCTATGACTCTCTGCCTGGGTTCCGACACTCCGTTTCCCCTGCACTTCCCGCTTCCACCACTCGATGGAGTGTGCTGTTCCTTCCCCCCTCCTCCTCCTCGCCGCCGCCGCCCACAGCATTCTACTGCTTTTGCACACTGTTGCTAGGATATTCTGGCATCAGGCGACTCAGGATGACCGGAGCTCAGTGGCAAAATCGAATCACAGGGCCCATCCCATGCACAGAATTTTAGAATCGCAGAGTTGGAAGGGACCCCGAGGGACATCTCGTTCAACCCCCTGCAATGCAATCTCTCTCTATATATATTGCAGAATGGAGTGGGATGTGGGGTGGGAAGAGGACAGGCAGACTCCTTTTTCCACGTCCTACTGACTCACAGCCCGAGAACCGTCCTGTGGAAGTGCGGGGTAGTGGTAGGGCGAAAGAGCCTTCCAAGAACAGGAGCCGAGGTCCCTTCGTCCGTCCCCCATAAAATATTTGAGGGGGCTGGGATGGACCCCCCCAAAAAAAAGTTGATGAGCATTACCATTCAAACGGTGCGCGTGCACTCCAAGGGGTTTTCAAGGAAACACAGGCGACCCCGATCCCCCTCCCTTTTACTCGCGAGAGGCACGCCGCTCAGGTTTCATAAGCGGGAGGCGATAAAGCAAAAATATCTGGCTGCGGGCCATTTATTTGACTACTTTCCCCTCTCTCTCTCTCCACCACCACCACGCCTTGCTCCTTCAGCTCCCGATTTGGGCGGGTGCACTGAAGCAGAGGCGCTTCAGAAGTTAAAGCTGCAGGACGCGCCCCCCCGCCCTCCACCCACCAAGCTCTCCTCTCTCTCTCCCTCCAGCTGTTTGGTTTTGCGCTTCCAAATCTCTCCCCGCGTTTCTCCTTCTTTTCGCCCAATAGGGAGCGGCCCGCCCGGGCTGGACCAATGGAGGGCGCCGCACAGCCATACCCCGCTCAGCCAATGGGAGGGCGGCCGTGGGGGCGGCCGCTGCCAGAGCCGTGTGTTCTTCTGCTCTTGCGAAGTGGAGCGCGAGGGTGGGGGCGGCGGCCCAGTGCGCGCGCGCTCCCTCCCTCCTTCCCTCTCTCTTTCCCCGGGTCCCGCTTCAAGACCGCGCATTGTATCTCTCGGCGCGCGCGCTGCAGTCGCGGGGCTAAGAAGGCAGCCCTCTTTCCCGGCGGCTTTCCGCAAGAAAGGAGGAGAAGCCATGGCGGTGGAAGAAGAGGGGCTGCGGGTGTTCCAGAGCGTCAGGATTAAAATAGGTACCGGGGCGGAGGGGAGAAGGAGAAAGGAGTAACAAAGGGAAGGACGGGAGCTGGGTGCTCCTTGCAAGCCGAGCAGGGGCTTTGCTCCCGAGGAGCCGCTGCAGCCCGGTTGGGACGGGCAGGGGCGCCCCGTCGGCTGCCTGGGCTCCCCCACCAGCAGCTCAGGCGGCAGCACCGGCCCGCCGCTCGCTCTTATCCGGCCCCTCGTTTGTTCCTTGCCGTGCAACCCGTCCCTGTGGAGAAACGACGGGTCCTCCTCAGGAAAGGGTGATGAATGGCTTGGGTGTGTGTTAGTGTGTTGGAGAGGGGGCCCTGAAGTTTATATAGGGTGAAGTGGGAGTGGGGGGGGGATGCTGGCATAGGAGAGAAGCGGGCGAGGATGCTAAGGAGCGGAAGAAGGGATGGCAGTAAAGTGTAAAAAGAAGAAGTGTGGTTGTGGTGACGGGGGTGTGTGTGGGGAGGGGGGTGTTGTCGCCGCTTGTCAACTCGCAAGATGTAAGGCAAGTGGCTCGCGCCCAATTTGCAGTGTGGGAATGGCTTTGCTGGGTCTTTCTAGTCGTTGCATGTGGCTCGTGCTCTTGCAGAAGCTCGGTTTGCCACTCCAAAATGCCGTTTAATTAATATGTGGGGCGGGATTGCCAAGTACGACAGTGGCATTCTCAAGTCTGTGGGGTGTTCTTGCTTGCCAATGGGTGTACAGTTAATTTCAGTCCTGCTCTTCCTAGCTCCTTTTATTCTATTTCTGATGACCGACTAGTTTATGCCTATTGTAGCTGTATGGATATCTCCTCTTTTTGGGACACTTCTTACTGTCACTTGTGTGTTTTATCTCTCCCCCCGCCTGCTTGGGTTTCTGTTGTGCCAATGTCATCCCACTGCTGCTTAGTAGCTTCCTGTTGGCATTTCTGCATCCTATATGCTCAAGAGGCAAACCATCTTCTTGCCATTTCCTGTTGGCACAGTGTGATATGGTGAAATGTCAATTTTGGTTCCTCTTTGTTACCACTGTCACTCATGAGTCTTAAAGTCTGTGTCATGTACACTTTAATCCTATGTATGTCTATTCAGTTCTTTGTGGCTTACAGTCATGTAAATCAGATGTATAGTATTTCTGCTGCAATATCATTTTCATTATTATTTGTTGTATTTTGCAATTTGTTGTCCGTTACACTGTTTTTCACACTTTTCTCAGAGTTCCCTCTGGTGATGGCCATTCTGATATTCATCGGCAAAGTCTTTATCAAATGACTGACATAGCTTGGACAAAGCAACATAAATCCCTTGTATCTATCTTAAAATATAGATGGTGATTTCTTCATATAATAATACTTTGAGCACAAACCTATCTGCTTCGG